ATTAAAATGAGCCCTGGAACCTACATCCTGGTGCTCTTAACTCCTTTTGCAGAGCTGCAGAGCAAAAGGCCTCTGGGTTTTATTCTTTCAACTTCCAAAAGGAATTCTCAGAAGAATAAAAATATGCAAATGAGAAAAAAATGTTCATAAAGGAATGCTTGGACGTATTGACACTAGCAACAAAATTAAGTGAGACTGTTATAAAAAGGAGAAAGAAAATTTCAAAAAAGAAAAAGAAAACTGCAACTTGCCCAATGCACATTTGTGGGTCTTCTTTAATAGATTTCATTTTATTACCTCCTGTTTACCTTTCTGAAAAGTTTAACAGAACAGTGATTGAACTCGATCTTGATAGAGGTAGTGGGTTATCATAAAGGCAAAAAGACAGATCAGTCCCTTCCTGGAAACATCCAAGGGTTTAGCGTCCTTTTATTAAATAAGATGTATGACAATTATAAACGGCAGTTCCTTGACAATCGTGTACTCAAAGAGAGCGATAATATACATATCAGTCATGCTAACAGGAACAAAAAGGATCAAGACCATGGTCTCCCACAGGAAAAAAAAAAAAAATCTGTGCTCCTGCCTGCAAATGCTTTTTTTAGTCATTAAATGGTGGCTTCCCAGTGCTGTGAAACTATCTTATGAAACAGGAATCAGAAATTACTGGCATGAACCTTGGAACAGGGACACTGGATAACCTTTCCATTAAAACCTTCTTATAAGAAAAAAAACCCACCTTGTTTTTAGCTGTTGTCAAAGCAAGGGGGGAGGGAATGTCTATAAATCTCCAAAGTATTACTACATGCCAGACACAGCCCAGGGAGCTGTGGCTCTGGTGGTTGTTCTAGCTTAATAGTTCATGAAAAAAGACTGGTATTTCTGCTTCACAGACATGCCCTACACTTCACTAGATCAAGCCAGTGCTCAGAGTGGAAGAAAGAGAACTGAGGATTTATTGGTGCAAATTGTGCAGCAAATCCTATTCTCCTCATCACTGGGAAAATCAGAACAGTAAGCAAAGCAGGCTGGATGTTGTGGCTCATACCTGTAATCCCAGCACTCTGGGAGGCCAGGGGTGGGACAAGTACTTGAGGCCAAGACTTTGAGTTCTGCCAGAGCAAGAGCAAGACTCCATCTCTATTTTTAAAAGTACAAAAATTAGCTGGGCATGGTGGCATACACCTGTAATCCCAGCTACCTGGGAGACTGAGGCAGGAGGATCCCTTGAGGCCAGGTTTTTGAGCTTCGAGAGAGTTGTGATGATACCATTATACTCTAGCCCAAGTGACAGAGCAACACCTTTTCTCAAAAAGAAAGAAAAAAATCCTCTCTCTACACCAAATCAAATGATGAAGTGAAAAGCTATGGAAACAGGTGAATTTCACATTCTTTCATTTAAAAAAAAAGGTTATTAGTGACCTTTGGCTCAGTCAAGGTTTCACCTAGTTTAGGTGCCTCAACTGGCTTGATCATAGAATCATCTGAGGCACTTGTTAAAAAATAAGGATTCTAAACTCTTCCATGTTATGACTGTAATGTCACCCCAGGTGACTTCCAATTGAGAAATATCATACTTTCATAAAAGGCAAAAATATGTTCATCTAACAAAAGGCTCTCTGTTAAGTTCCCTGGATTTTCTGAGTAACTCTAGCAGGTGTCTGACTGGCAATATTTACATCAACCAGTCGTGAAGCAGTGGACTCAAAATCTCAGCTCTTTACTAAAATCCCCTCCCAGAACATCTTCAGTCTCTCTTCCCCGCCCCTCTGCTTTTAATGAAGGATCTTTGCTTTTCTTTTGATAGTGCAGGAGTCTATAGAACTTACAGACTGGATGTCTCTTTATTTAAAAGGCTTTACTGAGTCCAGCAGCTTTCAGAAGAGAGAACTTCTTTCCAAACCACTCTAAAGATATAAAATTATGGCTTGGCTCCTGTGGCTCAAGTGGCTAAGGCGCCAGCCACATACACCTAAGGTGGTGGGTTCGAATCCAGCCCAGCCCGCCAAACAACGAGGGCAACCAAAAAATAGCCAGGCGTTGTGGCAGTTCCAGCTACTTGGGAGGCAGAGGCAGGAGACTAGCTTGAGCCCAGGAGTTGGAGGTTGCTGTGAGCTGTGATGTCATGGCACTCTACGCAGGGGGACAGCTTGAGGCTCTGTCTCAAAAAAAAAAAAAGATATAAAATTATATCTTCATGAAAAGGACTGTGCCCTCAAAAGGAGGTGGCCAGGTCACTCACATTTACTTACAACAACCAGGATTAACAGAAATAAACCCAAATGCTTTGAACACTTACAACTCCACTGGTGAATTACAGGTCGTTCAGGGAAATTCAAAGTAACAAACTATATAAATCACTTTTATAAGTGGTCAAAAACCAATTTTTAAATATAGGCAGGTCGGAAGGAGATGAAAAACTAAGTTTCGTGACCTTCACCTTAATTTAACATCTGTAAACTACATTTTTCCTCTTTCTAGAGAATGCTGATCTATTTACTCCTGGCAGGGAAGAAAGAAGGGAAAGCGTCCAGGTGCTATAAGAAAACCATTCAAGAAGACGTGGACCAACGCCAAGTTCGCAGCCCACCTGAATGAGAAATGCAATCCAGGCAAACCCAACCCAGGGAGTCCCGGGTTCTTCCTGAACTTAAGCACCCGGTTTTAAAAAAAAAAAAGGCTTCCCGGTCACACGTGCGGGGACACGTCTCCCCCGCCCGCCGCCGGATAGATAGCACCAGGACAGACTGAAATCCCCTAGGACGCTTTTGGAAGCCTGGAGCCTGACTGGGCAGGCAGGACCGACGCAGACCTGAGCGGACCATCCACTTGCAGGTGCAGGGGCTGCGGCATTGGCTGGAGCCACTCACGACCGTTTACTAGAGCTTCGGGTCCCCTCGATGCAAAAAAGGGGGCCATCCTAGCTCATAAGAGGCTGGCGTGAAAAAGAGATGAGGAGGCGTCAGTAAATACTTAAACAGAAGGTGGGGGTGGCTGTGCCTACTATTGTGGCTACCGTGGCAAATTACTCCAACTGAGGCGCATGAGTTAGGGCGCCAGAAGTGCAAAGTTTCTCAGGGGATCAAACTAACTCAAGCTCCTTAAAAGGGCTGGAGAGACCTTTGTCAGCACTCAGCGCCGTCCGCCGCCTGCGGTCCCGCCGCCGCCCGCGGTCCGCGCCACCTTTCCCGCGGCGGGCCCCGGGCGGGGCGGAGCAGGCGGCGGCGCGGGCCCGGCGGCGGGGAAGGGCGGGAGCGCGGGCGCACCGGCGGGCCGTAGTCCCCAACGGCTCGGCTCGGCTAGTGGCTCCAGACCCGGAACACCGCAACTTCCTCGGCCACTGGCGTCGTTGTAGTAGCTGCGGCTCCTGTGGCGGCCCGGCGCTCCTGCGCTCGCTCCGGGCGGGCTCACCCTCTGCGCGGGGCAGGGGGGCGCGGCGCGCAGACCCGGGGCGCCCCCCGAGCCTCTCCATCGCGTTCGGCTGGTCTTACCCCCCCTCGCGGCCCCGGCAGGTGGAGGCGCCCAGCGAACCGGCTCCGGGCTCCGCAGTCCCCTCCCGCCGCGAGCCGCGCGCCAGCCCGCGGGGACGCAACTTTCTTAAAGGGACAGGTGGCCCCAACCTACGTCCACCTGAAGCCCGGTCTCTACTTCTTGGCCTGTCCCTACTTTGGGGAAGAGTGGAGGTTGCAACAGATTTCTCCGCCCGCCCACCTCCCTTGCCCCGGGCCAGTGACCGATCGCAAGTTTTAATGCACCCAGCATCCTTTTGCAACTTAATTCTTTTGGCCTAAATTATCCTCCCACTGCTCCTCAACGCATGCTCGCGGGCACGAGTCGTTGCCACTGTTGGCAAAGTTGGAAGAGGGGTGTCACTATTCCTGTCCCCCCCCCTCCCGCTCCGCCCCCTACACACATCGCCGGAACCCCGGGGCGTGCTAATCTTGCTGCTGCTGGGAAACGCCCGCTGCAATCCCCTTGACCCTGCCCTGTAACTGACCCTTGGGGAAAAGCCCCCCGCACGGCTACTGCGCATGCTCTGAGCTGGACAGCTCCAGAGAGGGAAATTTAAAAACGATTCGAGCTGCGACGGCGGCCAAATTGCTGAACGCGAGGGGCGAGCGCGAGGGAGTCCCCCTCCGGAACCCCCGCGCGCCCAGGAGCGCCGGCAGCGGCGGCCCCGCGAGGATCGGCTCCAGGTACCGCCTTGCAGGGTCGACTTTGCTTCCTCCTCCCCGGCACTGCCCTGTATTGCATTCCCAGGGTAGCGACTCTGGCACAGGAACTGCAAGGGTGCCTCCCTCTGCTCCCCTTTCCTCTTTCAATGATTTTGGAAAAGGAACTGAGAGTCTCTGATGGGTTTCTATTTTGGTTTGAGTCTTGGGGGTTGAGAAACGTAGAGAGCAGAAAGATTTGTTGATACTGTTTTTGTGTCAGGGAGTGTGTGGAGGTTGGATTGGTTTTCCACCAAGAGCATGTGGCATTTCTGAAGGTATTTCCAGGGCAGGAGCCCTTTGGATATGATTATTCCCTTTGCAAGTGGGAACTTGTTTCTTCCTGACAAACATAGGTGACACATCAGCTGCCTCTTTTTTGTTTGTTTATCTATTTATTTGCTTTCAAAATGGTCATTACTGAACTGAGATTGAAAATAGAAGCCTTGGAAGGGAGTAGGGTTTTTCGATTCCTATTTTGTAAATCCACATTTTCCAAGTCTTGACATTTGGATTCTGGAGCCTTCTCTGCCCTTCCCCCATTAATTTGAAAGAATCTGGAATTTCATTCCATTCTCTTTATTTGCTTCTAAAATCCTGTAGAATCGCCCTGAGAAAGTGACCTGAGATGCCCAGGAATCCTCTAATACTTTTTTTTTCTTTAGAGAAGAAAGTGTTCTCTTAGTTGTTTGAGCTCCATCCTTCTGAATGGTGGGAAAACTGTGGGTCTCTGCCCTGTCCATCGTGCTGATAGGAGCTTTGTTTTCTGCTTGTCTTTCCCCCAAGGAGATGATAGAAAGTGACATCTCATCCATAATGTCAGGAATTATTCGAAACTCAGGGCAAAACTACCATCCCTCTCCACAGGAGTACAGGTGAGGACTTCAACTATCACAAACGCTGTATTTTTTGATTGGTCAGGGTATTTATGTGTTGTTTATGATTTCTGAAACTGCCCAATAACTATTATTATGTTCAGTTCTGTGGTTTTGCAGGAGAGCTAGAAGGTCTTGATTTCAAAGTTGGTCTCTCTCAGGGTGTCTGGGCTTGTGGCTCGGCCCAGTGGGACCATTGAATGCCTGCAGTCTCCTGTCTCCTCCAACAGAGGTCTCCTCCTGGGTTGGATCCTATTTGGGAATCCTGGTGAATGTTAAGACGCCAACAGCAGCTATTGCTTCCTCTCCAGTGACCTTAATGGGGACTCCAGGAAATCCCCCCACCAAATCTTTCTGAGAGGAATTGGCTTCTATCCTCCATGGGTTCTGGGAAAGTTGTGAGTCAGAGCTCTGGGTTCTGGGTCAGCTCTCTATGCCTGGCTGTGTGACTTTCAACAAGTCTTTTGCCCTCTCTGGGCCTCAATTCCTCATCATTTAAGTGATGCTGTTGAATTAGATGATCTTAAGGTCTCTTCTAGGTTCTCACATGTTCATAGAGTAAATTAGATAGAAACTGAAGTCAAGACAGTTTCTTGAAACAGGATGAAACCAGGTACATGTGGGGAGGGGGAGTCTTTTAGAGCACTTCGCTTTTTTGTCTTGAAACTTCATAGCTGGAAGGCCCACAGGAGGTCAACCAATCTGGCCCCCTGGTGTTTACATATGGGGAAACTGAGGCCAAGAGAGAAGAAGTGACTGGGAGGGAGGAGGAGGAAAAGGAAGGAGGGAGAGTCTTTCTCCAGTCTTTCTCCCTTGAGGCAGGGTAACCTGACCCGGTTTCCAGGGCCCCACCCCCAAAGCAAGAACCTTGTCTGTGGGTTGACAGGGCACAGCCTAGATTATGGAATGGGGACAGGACCAGGGCTGGCCTGGGAAGAACAGGCTGTCACCTCAGATCAGCCCTGTTTACCCAGGAGTTGCCTGGACCCCCGGGGGTCACTGCAACTCACTAGCAGGGCCTGCTGGGACAGACTGCAGCCCCCAATTAGAGGGAGGCCACTTCCTGAGGGTCATGGGCCTGGAATCTGCCTTCTGAGATCCAAATGAGGCGATAGATTCAAACAGATATTTGCAGAGAGGCTGCTGTGTGCAGAGCTGGGGCCAGGTGCACAGCAGTCTGTGAGCGCCCACTGTGTGGTGTGCCCCCCATCACCCACCTCTGATGATCCCTGCTGTCCAGGTGAGGGAACTAAAGTGCTCAGAGAAAGGAAATGGCTTTTCCCAAGATCATTCAACCTCTGGACTTCCTTCCAGCACTGACAGGGTTTAAATAATGTCAAGTAGATTAGGGGCAGTGTAAAAGTTGGCAGCTTAGGCTCTGGAGTTCATTTTCATCCCTGTTTTTCTGACCATGTGGAGCTCTCTGTGCCTCAGTTTCCTCATCTGTAAAATGGGAATAGAAATAGTACCCACTGCATGGAGTTGTTGTAAAAGTTAAATGATCACTGCTGGCTCTGTCACTCACCTATTTTGTTTGATTTCACCTCTGAACTTTGGTTGGTTTTTTCCATGGGGATGATAAAAGCTATCCCCGAAGGGTTGAATGGAAGTATTTATTATCTATGGAAGTACCCGGAGCCCAGCAGGCACTGGATGTGTCTCGGGTGAATCTACAGTTGTCCTCCTAGCTGGAAGCCTAGAGAGAGCTGGCTCTTCCCTGCCGGCTGGCTTCAAGTGCTCAAAGTCATCAATTCTTATTGTTGGTGGGTTCAGAGTCCAAGCTTTGGGCAGGGCTTGTGACTTGCTTTAATTTCCTCATCTTTAAAATGGGCATGGTTAGGACTTGTCCTTCATCTGATTGCTGGGAGGATTAAATAAATAAAGCTTATAGCACAGGAGACACATAATTAATAGTCACTTTTGTTGTTACCACTTAGTTACATGAAAGAGTGGTTTTCTACAAGAGATGCATTTAGGGAGGCCTTTTGGGAGGGGAGTGTGTAAGAACTGAGTGTGGGATGGAATCTTTGAATCTGGATGCCCAGGCACTGCCCATCAGAGCCTTCCACCAGGCTGAGGGCTTGGCCCTGTGTGTCTGCATTAGCCCAGCTCACAAACTGTCTGGGGTGCTGAGTAGCTACCTCTCTCCAGAAATAGAGCAAGGCAAGCAGAGAGCATCCTCCAGGGATAAGTAGGGCCTACCTGGTTCACTGACCAGCTGGCAGGAGTACGGGGAGCTGAGAAGAAAAGCAGGCTTGTCCCCATCAGCACTGGGTCCAGATATGCCCCGTGCCTGGCATGGCACAGCATAGCTCAGCACAACCCTATCTTTCCTATTCCTGTGGATTCAGGGCTGTTATCTTGTATGCAATGGCCATGGTGTCCATCCAGAAGGCAGAACAACGTCATCATAATAGCAATGAGAATAGCAACTAGTGATTTCTTAACCCTTTACTACCTGATTTCCCTGTGCCAGACTCTCAGTATAAATCCCCACCAAATCCCCCCAAACCACCCATGTGAGGGTAGCACTCTTAGGCCCATTTAGCAGGCGAGGAAAGCAAGGCTCAAGCCACTTAAATGGCTTAACAAGAGGATGCTACTGATGGGTCAAGTGGGGACTCAAGACAACAAAGCTGCTGTGCCCTGAGAATATTGTGACCACCAGCCCCATGTTCACTGGCCAAGAGCTCAGGTGCTGGAACAGGTGCTCTGTCACTTTGCAGTTGTGTGACCCTAGACAAGCCACTGCCTCTCTCTGAGCCTCAATTTATTCATCAGTGAAATGGAGCCACCCAAGAACCCACCTTGCAGGTTTGTTGGGAGGATTCTGCACCTCCAATGTGGCAAGAAGTTCAGCTGAGTCTGGGACAGAGGGAGCACTGGGACACGGGGGCTGGGTTATGATTACACTGTGACTCCTCATTTCCAATCACTTCTGTTTTTTACCCCGAATAATAGCCTAAAAGTAGTTTATGGGCTTCTCATTTGCCCTCCTGCATCTCCAGAGATGGGCTCCAAGGACCACTCAGTCTGCTGGTCCAGTCCCCCTTCCGTGTAGCCCCCACTCCCAAGCAGCTGCCTGGTTCCCCATCCCCCCCCTAGGGGGCTGAGTTTGGCCGTTAATTTTCAATGGCTGTGTATAGAAGGGCGGGGGCAGCAGCTGGAGGCGGCTGCCTTGTCCCTGGGGAGCTGTCAGGAGTCAGTGGCAGGGTCTAGACAGCAAATTGGCAGCAGCTTCCTCGCCTGCTGCTGGTGCTGGGGCAGGAGACCAGAGCCTGGGGGCAGTCCTGACCTCCCAGGCAACGGTACACAGGGCTCATGCTTAAAGTGGGTTAACCAGGTTTCTCCTTAACTCAAAGGGTGAGAAAGAAGTCCACCCTTAGATGTGCTAAGTCTTAGAGTTATTAAACACCTACTGTGTGCCAGGCACCTGCTATACCCCTTGGCAAGCGCACCATCCCATTTCATCTTTATACCGTGGGACAGGTACTGATATCATCCCAATTTACAGACAAGGATACTGAAGTCCAGAGATAGGACTTGCCCAAAGGCATATATTTAGGAAGGGGCAGAGCTACGGGATACCTGCCCCAACTTTTGGTACTTATTCTTGAAGTCAGGTCTAATAAACTCCTTTTACAGATTGGGAAACTGAGGCCCTGAGGGATGAGAAAAGGCGGGTTTCTGGTTCCTTGGAATCCTCACCTTTCTCCCAGGGCCATGAGGCTCAGTGGTCCTTCTTCCAGATCTTTGTGCCAGATGTTCCCATCCCCAAATCTCAGTCCCTGCTCCCTTCTTCAGGCTCATTTATGGGCAAGGAAGAAAGATAGTCTTCCTGGGGCCCAGACCTCTTTTGAGGTCTCGCATTTCCACCCCTCAGACACCTATGTGTGCATACACACACACACTCACACACCCCAAGTCCCAAGCCAGCTATTATTCTAGAAAGGTAAGATTCTTTTTTCGGAACTCCTGATCAAGTCATCTCACACTACATTCACTGTCAGACCAGGTGGGAATTTCTAAGCTTGCTAAATTGCACTTGATTTTCTTTTTCCTGTAAATGGTTACAAAAGATATTACAAAAGATATGTTAGCTAAATAAACACGTCCATGAAGTTCTTAATCCTTTTTTGTGTAATGGTTGGATTGGTAACAGGAACAGCATGTGGTGATGTAACATTTCTGACCAACCACATCTTAAGAAGGCAGGTAAAATCTCCCTGTTGTCATCAGGGTGGGCGTGCCATCCCAGATAGGGCTGGACATGCCTCAGGACCCCTGGGATGGTGATATGACCCCCTCAGAGACGATATTTCCCGGGCAAAGTTCTCCACGTGACAGCACAAAGCAAGAGAAGAGAGAGCAGTGGGAGGGAAGGAAGAAAGAAGGTTACGTGGTTAGAGCACCTACTGTGTGTTGGGCCCTGTCTTATACATTATCTGCTCTTATCCTCACATTTGCCCCAGTGGTGGGAGTTACTATTGTTCCATTTTACTTATGGGAAAACTGAGGCACAGAGAGGTGAAGTGACTTGGCCCAAATCACACAGCTGCAAAAGGGTTTAGATGGGATTTGAACTCAAAATGGATGTTCTTTCCTCTATTACAATTATTGCATCAACCTAAGGGAACCCTAAGATGGGAAACAAAACATTAGATGTTCTCTAATCTTCAGCAATGTAGGCAAAGATCCTGGCAGAAACTGTAATCCATCTGTAAATACGTGTGGCCCTGTACTGCCAAGTTCATCATCTCATTTGACTTCTACAGCAGTGATCCCAGGGCAATGGCTGTGGAAGTCCAGTAGACCTGGAGTGGACAAATACTTGTCAAGAGAAAGAATGAAAAGCTAAGCTGATGGCTCTGGGTCTTGTAATGAGGTATAAGACACACTCATCCTTGTCCTCCAGGTGTTTTATGTCTAGAAGAGAGGAGTAGTTAAGAACAAGTGCCCAGGGCGGTGCCTGTGGCTCAAGGAGTGGAGCGCCAGCCCCA